AATTGATGTAACGAGCGACGGTGTACATTGCTCTATTATACCCGTCGAGTAATTATACTTGAAGTCTCAAGAGTCATCCGACGCTTACACAAAACGGGGCATTCTGCTGGTTTCCCGACTAATGGCAAAAGAATTAAACCAAAAATGATTTCTTATGATTCGTTTTTCTCTCATTTGATGCTTAGCTTTAAACTTTGACCAAAAAATCATTAAACCGAAAAATATAATTCAAAAAGATATATTTAGCATGACTTTTACGGCGACTGAAATGGTGACGACCATGAAAATATTTAGTAGACTTTGTGATTGTCCTGATGCACGGCAGTGATCGAATTACCCTGGGACCAGCATGTTCTGTATGATACCATCTCGAGAATATCGGATATCTGCGGCCGTGCTATCAAAAATAGTTGCGAGTTCGTAACTCTGTCAGCCTATCACTTACAAATTTTCCAACTAAACTCACCTATCACAGGCGAGAAATCGCCCGATACGTGTACTTAGACGAGTTTCGATAATAAGATCAAAGTTCTCTAGATCATATCCCGATGGTAAATAGGCTGTAGATTTTCTTGTGGTCGTCAAAAGACGAGTGGCGACGGCCGACGAGCGATGAGATACATGCAAACGCGGAAGCCGTTCAGCTCTAGCCAAGAATGCTGGCTCCCAAATTGTGTCGAAGACATAATTCAGAACCATATACATCAGCGACATTCGAACCACCAGAAAAAACTGCAATTTGTTGGAAGACGTACAATATAAAATAATCGCATTCAGGCGAAGGTCACTAAATCAGGAAACGAGTGGGAGAACAGAAAGGAACAATTTGACTTCACACAACGTTGGAACGAGATCATGAATAACAAATTAGTTTCAAAAGAACACACTTTTGGCTGAAAGTTAAGGAGTATTGAAATTTTGTGAAAAATTAGGAGAAATTGAGAAATTGAGTGGGCCGAAAGATCAGGTTCATAATTATTAGAAGCGGACTCACAGCGCTTAATAATACGACCCTCACACTTTATGCTTATAGGGGCCTCAAGACTTCACTTGTCGACGTTTATGTATCGAAGACGCTCAATTACAAGATCTTAAACATTGTTATCACCTCGGTGGCAGTAAATATAATTGTTAAAACAAGAGGCAATCACGCGGCTGGAGTTAGCCCTTTGACTACTGATGCTAACTCTAGTTAACAACATTCCAGATAGGATTCAGTTAATTTATCATCACGCTAAAGGCTAATTATACATGAACCCCCAGCTAATCCAAAGCGGTAAATGCACGATTACAGGGCGCTGTTAAGACTAGTTTTCAATCGTCAGATCCAAGAGCCAACACTCATTTCTCATTAGGAGATATCCAAGTTCAGGGCACCACAAGCACGTTGCAAAATATCCTAGATCACGCAAGATGCGATCAAAACTCATAAACAAGCCATGTGCTGAACGAAATAGAGCGTAATTAGCAGTGTGGCCCTCGCTAAATTAGCTGGACTACAGGTACGAGACTAGGCCACGGACAAGCAACTGCATGCCTGTCCTTGCGATGATTTTTATGCTAAGGAAGGAAATTAATTTCTGATGAACGTTATAGTTCTATCCTGTAAAGTGTATAATAATTTCCGGAGGGTTGAAGCATTGCTAAAATAATTTTGGAGTAAACGCGGTGTTTTGAATACGCTTTCTAGACGCACAAAAAAATGTCTATACCCAGAAGGTACAGTTTAATTATCACCAATTGAAACTACAACACAAGTCAAGTGAAATAAAGCAGTCCATTAAACATATTGGAACAGATGTTCTTTCAGGTTTTCAGAAAATACATTACGCCGCTCTAAAGGAAAGAACATTAAGCGAGCTTTCATGAAGCTTTCCAATGTGACCAATTAAACTCATCTTTGTATATATTTAAAAATGTATAGAAAAAGCATGCCAACAGACAGAAAAATCCGAAAATGCATCTGCAGAAGTTGACCATGAATATCATCAAAATCATCTGATCGATCGAATTTCCTTCAGAATCATGAACGTCACCAAGATAATCCATAAAAATTCTAATTTATACGAAGGGGATTGCGGCTGCTTAATTTCTTTTGTAGTATACACGAAGGAGTCAAATTAGGTACTTTTCTCCACGCATGGTCTCTGAATAAAGCTCATCGTTAACAGAAATAAAAAAAAGAAGACGTTAAACAATTGATAATGGTTGATGACCCGATCACTTATAAAGTTATTAGTATTTTCAACAGGAAGAATACTGCCGCATCAAGAAAGAAGTCGGATAGCCGTAATAAGAAATATATGAGCCGTAATATAAATATTAAATATATAATATATAATAAGAAATATACGAGTCGGAGAGCCGTAATAAGAAATATGATAAAAGAGTGCCACAGGAAATGTTGCTGCAAAGGATGTTTGGCCAGCGCTGCACGTCACACGCGGGAAATATCGGACCTCTTGCAGCTAGGAGGAATTTCCCGTGCATAGCGTTATCTTGGTACCGTGCACTGGCAGCTCACTTGCTGTATATTTTCTGCATGTATTCTGTGCATTTCTGTGTAAAATACACTTGCTGAATGTATATTCTAACTATGCAATATTATTACAAAAATAACTGAGTATATGATGGCATTGACATTTAGGCGCAGAAAAGTAATAAATACAAATACGAATACTTCAAAGTGAAGTTCATGCCGATCCACAAGCACGAAAGACGCAGAGTTAGTGTTCGTACTATAAACGCGGTTCTAATTTAAAAGCTTAAAGAAACTGATACAGGTAAGAAGTTATTTGGCAAAGAAAAACAAGTCATTAAAAGTCCTAATAAAATGCATCTTGTTCGAAAAGCTTGGGACTATCAGCAGAACAATCATGAGGCTCTCTGCTTAACTGCGGATGCCGACACAATAACGAACCGATGACTACGCCAAGCAATACGTTTTATTCTGTTCAGTTTACAATGTTCATGGTGCGATCTGCCCACAATCGAGCAGTTTGTCCACACATTGGAACCCCTGTTAAATCCAAGTGATGTGAGAAACCTGTCGCTTATTTTTATTTATTTATTTATTTTTTGTTCTATGAGAAGAAATTTGCCACTGAAAAGCTATAGAATATGTTTTCAGACGGTGAACAGAAACAACTGATAGAAGAGCATGATAAGCGATACTTAATATTCAAGCCATATAAGGGTGGAAATGTTTTCATTAAGTATTCTCATCGTACAGAAAGCACACACGACCGAGTTCAAAAAATAATAATGTAATATGCCACGCCACTCATAGAAAAACACGAGGTCATAGTCGTGTATCATCCATCACGAATACTAAGTTCAACAAACCTCATAACCAAGATCCATTCCTAGTAGTTATGTCTCTTACACTATACACAAAAATTGTTGTAAACTTTAATTACTACTCATACTTCTCAGGGAAATATTCATTCGACATTTCTCCATTTCTTTCTGGAGACGCACAATGAAGCGTTGCCATAATCAACGCCTTTAAAATGATACCTATAAGATTAGTTTGCTAAATAGTGAGTTCTTATATGCTTGCCGAAGTAACTTAATCGATGATTTTATGTTCCTCGTGATTTTATTCGGTATTGAAATTTTTATCTCCTTTTGATAAATTTGCTCGTTCCCTATTTATTATACTTGAATTTTTCAACAACTTAAATTTGAGCTTAAATTCGACAATTGATTTAGCTGGTCTCGAAACGTTTTCTATGAAGATGTAGTGAATTCACTTGGAGTTTATTTGCTATTAACTGATACTTGATAAAGACCGGGCAGGTGGCATACAATGGAGCAGCTTGGCAGAGTGCCACGTGAGGGTGCCAACTTACGATGTCCACCTGGTGCAGGCACTGCAGTGTGTCACGCTCTGGTTGGCCCTCGCTCACACCAATTTCATCAAGGGATATTCATTCATTCACAACACAAGTCTGAGTATCACAGCCAAATACAATTATCAATAATTTAGAAGTAGTAATCAGGAAGCAAATCTCTCATGTTGGTCTGATGAATGTCAGCGCGATAAACAGCAAATTACATCTAATAGCGAGCAAACAATTGTTGATAGAAAAAAACAGATACACAATCTTTCAGATAAACCAATTCAATGGGTTGTAACTGGATCAAAAGTTTCTATGGTAAGCAAATGAACAACAAAACCGTTTATCAATTGAATTGGAATCGACCGTAAAAATATGCACTAACGACACGAATTAACTTTGACGACTTGATCATTGCACAGGAAGTACTATCTAAAATAAAGAATATATATCTTTAAACGTTTTAATTGTTATTTTCAGTAAGTGGATGATTAAAAAAGGCATATTTAGACTTCTTAAGTATATTTCACATTGATAGTTCGGCTTGTATATCTCGCGACAAAATCAAATTGCGCGCTTAAACCAATCAATACGATTAAAAAAAACAGGTGGGCGATACCTATCAAACAAAATTGCGCGCTTAAAACAGAATGAAGATTCATGACATTGCTCTAAGTCTGTTATAATTTCACGAGTATCAGTTCAGCCGTTTCTAAAGTAGAATTAGTAATATACTTATGAATATAGTGAACTTGTACGATGTGACTAAACAGAAACAGACTTGCATACGGTGCCGCTGACTGCCCGTGTCAACGTCGTTTATCGCTCATTAATTCCAATGCAATTAGCAGTAAAATTATAAATTACCTTAGCAGTAAAGTCATAACTAATTTATACAACATGACACTTTAACGGGGCCAAACACGATCACGTGAAGTAAAGCTATCTATATCCCGAATGGGCGAATTGGCAGCAAATATGAAACGTGCCTCTTGAACGCTTAGCAGATTAAACACTTTTTTCATAAACGCGGTACAATCCTTTCGTAAAGATAGAGTGGGGGAGGGAGGAAATGGATTTATTAGGTAATCAGTATATAATATTTCATCTAATACTATCAAATGTTACGTGATATGATAATACAATGTGGATACTCACCAATAGCCTGCGTGTAGTGCTGTAGAGCATCGCGATATTCTTTGTTCCTGTAAGCCTCGTTGCCCTCAGCCTTCTTGCGTTCCGCCAACCTGCATAAATTACACACAATATGTCAGACATACAAAAATGGATTAAATGACATGCAAATAAAATATGATGAGAAACGTCACCCCGATGTTTTAACGGATCAGCTAAGCGACGCTATAAAATAAAAGTGTATACGCCATCATTATAGCCACGATTGCCGACAAACAGGACGCATATTCATGGCAGTAGAAATTGGCTAATTCAAATAGCAGATGGCGATGGTGACAGCCACATCATATAAGGAATTATATAATTGAATTGATATAAGGAATTGAACCACAAACTGCGAAATTAAAGGTGACACTTTATTGAGGAGTCGATGTAACCAAACTCAGATCACAACTACTTGGTTGCATGGCTGCTTCTATATCTATAACACGTATTACAGCCGATGCCCTAGCGTGACGTTCAAGAATTGCGAATTGAGATATATTTGAATATTGCAAATAGCTCAAGAATATTTTATTTTACATGATAATGCGATATTCAAGGGCACATTAAATTTGAGACCAAAATTATAATATCAGGCGGAAGAAAAACGTTATTGGATATAGATAAAGATTAGGACATATATATAAAGACTTTTTATGGAAAAACATTTATTTACAAAGACTCAGATTAGTTATCAAAATATCAGAATGCAACTTGTAATGGAGGAATCACACAACTGCCAAGTTAAATACGAGCAACAACACAAACAAAGTACAAGTCAGCTGATCCAACATTAGAGTAAATCATTCTTAAGCAACTAAAAAATGCCTGACAAAAATAGGTAATAGCACATAAATAATTTGGTATATTAAGATAGTTAACAGTTGCATAGTGCAAACAACACACGTGGTGTGAACTGGCATGCTCATGACTTAGTACAAACACGCGATAATAACACTACAATTTTGATAAAAAAAAACGGACACACCCTCAACACACGGTTTGTTAGCTGAATGAGAAATAATTCATTATAATAGAGCAAATAAGAGAAAGAGCTGGAATTAGATACGTGATGAAGGGGAGACTGGGACGAATTTTTCTCGTAACTGCAAGACGCATGCATGGTGGGTATACATGATACATGTCACAGCAGCGTTAAACCAAAATGTGGCAGTATGACCATCGCAGTGACCGGAATTTGGCAATATAATGTGCATAAGAGGCACGAATAGTTAGACCAAATAATTTGACTTTGACGCTCTTTTTCTTAACCATCGAAATGAATTCGAAAGAGAAATTTTTGCATACCAAAAGTTCACGATAAAACGACGACACGCTGAGGTCTCAAAGAGGAGTGGTTAAGTTATGTTTTAACGATCACATCCGCCATAAATACTTTGAGTGACGGTCTCCTGTACGGCAAATTAGAATCAGTTCATAACTCAATGCAAGATCACCTTGACTTGACGGCAAGTCATCACCTTGCTAGCTAATGTAAAGAACACTAAAACTCACACACAAAGGCACGCCATTATTATCGAAAGCTTTTGTCAATTCAGAAGAGGTTATCAATGTATGTTTAGAGTAAATTTATTTTTCAACATAAAATGCTGATGAGAGATGACTCTTTGCCACGACTGCAGATATAACCAAGATACTCGCAAGTCACGCCGTGTGCAGCAAGCGACAATACAATTGAATGGCAACAGAAGAATTTATATGGATTAAAGCGCATTTATACACCCATTAACTGCCAATAAGAACCGGCGACAGCAGAATGATTTTCTGCACACGAAAATTAATATAAAATTCCCTGATGACACGAATCACAGTCTATCATCTAACTCAAGGTCGATAATAATTAAACGAAATCGAATCGATCTTGATAAGCTGTTTTTAAACGAAGGACGAACCCTTGTAAAAAAACGTGTAAAAATTACAAAAAAATAGAAGCTTACTACCAACCCTCAACGCTGAATTAAATTATGTGGAAAAGTTGACTTGCAATAATTCCGGGAATTTAGATCGGTTTAGCTGCATCAAGGGTGCAGTTCGTATGCGGCTCAACCACGAACACGGAAGTCATCGTCCGTGTGATAAATGCTAATGGGATTTTCCCACCAGGCACCTGAGGTTGAATCAACGTTGATGTAAACGTTGTTTCGTCGATTCAATGTAATTAAACGTCGTTTCAAAGCCTTTTGCATCCTGTGATAGATAGCTCGAGATGTGGTGCGCTGGAACCCTTGCGCTAAGCACAGCTGCAGAGTTATTCTCAATTTGATATTTATCGAGTATCATTCCAGAATTTATTTGCACTTCTTATCTTAAATTATAACAGGATGAAAGGTTCAGCAGTAGGTGAATTCAAATCAATTTCATGTACATTGACACCGTGCAGATCAGGCAACGTTTCTATGACCACATCCGCGTGATGCACGATTTCAAAATTAACTGCACCTTTGCGAGCGAATTTGTACTGAAATAAATCTTAATTATCCAGCTTCATTTCAATATTAAATAAAAAAAAGAAGTATATTATTGTTAGACAATTAAATTGAAGGTCAGCTAAAATGAAGATTGAATAACCTTCCGTCGCTGCCACTCAGTTTATTGTCCAAAAACAGAATAAACAATATCCAATAATTACGTTTTTAGTGTACGGTATATCTGGAGACCATTTAATTAGTTTACAAAGTATCAAAGTTATGTTGCATGCATTTGATTTGCTGAGTATTACGTTTATATATTTACAATTACTTTTAATATAAATGTGATGCTTAGCAAATCAAATAAATGCACGGTAACTTTGATACTATGCAAACTAATTATAAATAATCTCGAGAAATACACTAAAAACGTGATTATTGGAAATATTTACCTAACGAACTCGTTATACATGTATATGTGAACTCGTTTTGGCTCATAGGACGCAGTTATTCTGAAAACTTCCGGCATAAACATACGAGTCGGAATTTTACAAAAGGATTTTATCGGATGTCAGTGAGAGATGATGCAACTCTCTCAGATGGTGCCACTGTCTCTTCAACCCAACACATTCTGCTCAGGCAGTGATAAAAAATAAACAGACGAATACTGTTCTAAATGATCGACAACACAATGACAACAGAATATGTATGGCATCAATTGAGATGAAATAGAAATTTCAAATAATAAGTAGGTATCTGGAAATTAATATGCAGAAAAAAATAGCGTGAGCGGGCCAACGGTCAAGCAACACCTTTCGACAAAAAAATAATTGACCAAGTTGCAGAAGCTTACAAAATTTACTCAACATGTTGGATATACTCTGCCTCCATGAATACGACCAGAATTTTTCTAATTTTATGCGAAATGAAAGTGTCACGATAAAAACTCACGAACGCCATCAACCATTTTTAATTAATCTACCAAGATAGCATAAGTATCTCTGATATTATGCAGCAAACACAAACTTCGTCTATAAACTGCAAGACATTCATAGTATTACAAAAATTTGTGAGTTATATTACTAGCAGGAGTTAAGGCTAACGAGGAACGCATTAGTCGCAAGACACACGCAAGGCATGCGTTACCATTGAGGACGAGGGGCGAAGTCATCAACAGAAGGTATAAGGCAGACCGAATGCAGGGACTCTTGCGAGTTGTTGTGAGTTTGGGCGCCAGGCATCATGTCAGCCAGCGACGAAGGTCTGGGGCGTCCGACCATGGAGGAGGGACGCAATGCGGAATTGTTACCACCACGCAGCTTGGCGCCTGCAGAAGCAGACCGCGAGCGTCTTCTGAAGCTGCTGGATCTTGACGCTGCCCCACCACTGTCGCGTGGTCGGCTGCCCGGTGATACGGGCGGTTTGCCGCAGCGGGAACTGCGGTGGCTGCTCGAACGCACCGAAGCGCAGGTCGTTTTTCCCGTAGCGTTGCAAGCAACATCGGAGCATGGCGTCGATGGTGCTGAAGATGATGATACTTTCCACTTACCATTCAGGCAAATGATGACATCATCCGGCAACGAACATTGATTAGGATTTTCTGAACAGGGATCTACGTACGGTCGACTCCAGTTTACATCTTCGTTCTCGGGAACTTCTAGTTTGTTGGAACTAGAAATAACTTTCCTATTAATAAATTCGCATAAATTTTCAGTTAGATTCCCTGCTTCGCTGTCAAGAGAATCAAAACTTGCAGATAAATCGTTGCCACTGCTATGTTTTTCACCGAATCTCTCTTCGAAATCGTTTTCAGGTTCGCTAGAAGTGCTAACTCTCGGTGGACTTGAACTAGTCGAGTCAAACGCAGCACTGTCGTTCCCGGGAATAGCGTCGCCAATATTAACATAGTAAGCCGAATTTTGATAGTAAGGCGATGCGAACTGAGGAGGATGTTCCTCGACATTAAGAAAACATCTTTGGTAAGAAGTGTTGTCTGAATTGCCGCAATTGTTCGAGTCCCACGAGGGCGATACAGAACAAAACGTGTGGGAAATATTATCAGGGGGTTCGAAAGTTCGCTTGTCCAAGGAAGGCGATACATGCGCTCGTATGCTGAAACCGTGCAATTCACTGTTGTCGCCCTCCGACTCTTCATCAGCGTCAGCTCCAGTTCCATTAGTCCACATGCCTGACAGTCTCTTGTCAAGATCCTCGCTAATTACAGAGTCGCCTTCCCTTTCAGAATTCACACCCGTCTTTTCTTTTGTACGGTTAGTTTCAGACAGAAGCTCTGATGTTTCAAAATGCGACGATGCAGACGAGTTTTGATTCGCTCGGCATGAATTAAGCACAGTGCAACTTGTGGTAGCGTTCCATGCTGAAGTTCGAAACGAATCGGCAGAGTCAGAATCGGTCAAGACAACGCATGGAACTGCACGAACGATGCCATCTTGGGAATCGTCAGACGAAGAAGAACTTACGTCGTCGTTGGGAGTCACGAAGCTCTTGTTTTGAGCTTCAGGGCGGTCGTCCGCTTTGCCAAAATACTTCTCATGCAACTCGTTGAACTGTCCCATTAGGTCAGAGCCATTGCTGCTCACCGAGCTGCAGGCGCCAAAAGTTTCCTCGCGATGCTCTCCACTTTCCGTCTTTCCACATGCGCTCTCGTGTAACGTTGTATTATAAGTCACTTCATCTGATGAATTAGAGCCGCTCAATTCTTCTGCACCTGGACAATCAAACTCGTCTGCAAAGCTTGTTCTTACTTTCTTAACAACATCGTAAATGGTGTTGGCGCCAGCTGTAAAATAAAATGAAGAATTTGATTGAATTGACTCGTCAGACTCAGATTTTTGGTCGAAAGATAGGCCTTGTTCAGAGCCGTTGTCATCATCCGCTGCTTCTCCATCCCCTATGGCTGAGCACCAATCTTCGTAAATTAAATCACAAGCATTTTTCGGCTCTTCCCTACAAGATAAATCCGCCTTAATAGCAGCAGTTGACTTGGCGGAATTCTCACACTCTTTGATCGGCACAGAAAGTGAAGACTCCAATAAATCGCTAGCATTCAGGGTTATTGTGGCAGTAGTGGTCACGTTAGTCAGTGAACGAATATCATTCTCATCGGTCTCAGGTTCTTCTTCGGTAACTTCGTGTTTTTTTCTAGAACTAGGAAGAAAAATCACGTTCTCGTACATAGCTTCAGTCGTACCAACACTATGTCGTTGTTCCGAACTTACATCGGAGTTTTTTTTAATGCAAGGTCGAGGTTGACTGGTGAAACGAGACACGTCAGCTTGATGAGGAAATTTTTTGCAGCCAACGTGGTTGAGATTATCGTAGTAAGGCTTGCTTGAGTCACAGCCGACGTGACCAAGATAAGCTGCTCTCCAATGGTCATGGGCACCCACGCTGTTCGCGAAGTTATTTACGGGAGAGCCTCTCAGTCGAGGTGATGAAGACCGTTTGACTAAAGTAACTGAGGGGACGTTGTGCGCTTTATTCAATGGTAATCTCTTGTTTGTGTCAGGCTTTAGTACTTCTTTCCTTTCACTCGCTGAGTAACCTACACCATCTTTCTTCTGGTCTGAGGAATTCGAACTCGAATCTGTGTAAGTGTGGTCATTTTCAATCGAGCTGCCGGAGAAGCTGTTTCTGAAGATGGGCGCAGCACTGCCGATAGCATCTAAAATACCGGAGAAGTATTTTCGAGGTTTAGATTTTTTGTGCTTCTTGTGTTTAGATGGCTTCTTAACCTCATTATCGGAACTTGACGCGTCGAAGCTTCCAACTTTGTTCGAGGACAAAAGACGGGCTTCAACAGACGTAGCAGGAGCGTCTCCGATACGGTACTCGGATATACAAGTAACATTGGATGCAGGCTTATCGGCTTGAGAGCTAGCAAAGAGAGGGTCAATAATAAGCTCCGTCTTGACTGTTTTATTAGGTGTCGGAAAAGATGAAGATAGAGAGGCAGTGGCAGGCACATGAAGCACGGCACGTTGGAAAGCTTTAGCGAAACGCTTCCGACCAGGCTTCAGGCATGAAGCGTCATTCGAATTTTTCAGTTCATCGGTGTTAGAATCTGCCAATGTCGCGAAATTTGAACTAAAATTTGAATGGTTACCACATGCAGACAAAACTGGGAAAGATTCATTCGAATTTGTGGCCGGGGACGGCGAAAATTCATAGGATTCATACTTGTCATCCTGCGCAGGAAAATCGTTCAAAGAACAAGCAGCACGACTCGCATTGACTTTTGGTGACGTCACGGAAACTTCATCAACTTTGCGAGGGATGTGACTATAGACTTCACAGTAAGATGGCCACTCAGAATTAATCGCTCGTTCGCTTTCTTTTGCTGTTGAACTTCCGTACGTAGATGGACGGTATGACCCAGATAAGTTTGGCCTGAACATAGTATTTTCCATATCCTGTTCGCTTTCACGAGACGTTTCAAACACTGAGTCGGATAAAACGCTCGAATTCATCGAGTCATCACTTTGAAGGCTTCGTAAACTATTGATGGCGGAGAGGAGATCAAATTTTGCTGGAGTGTGAGCAGCATATGATCTCTCGATGACCAAACCTTGACTTACCACTCGTTCTTCAAATGACGTGCAATCGTTCTTTTCAGAATCCAAAATATCTGGTTTATGGAATTTGGCAGATTCCTCAATGAGTGAGTCACATTCCTCATTAATAGACTTAGAAGACTGATCACGTGTCATGTACACAGATCCACTAAATTTCTCTAGCTTCAACGGCTTAACGAATTGGATACCGACGCCCAAATTATGTTTCTCGTTGAAACAATCATTATCAGATTGAGAATGAGATCGAGCAGACGACAGATGGTCCTCTACAGGGCTGTTCCCAGCGCCACACTGGTGGTGGCCAAGATCTGCTACAGGAGCATTGGAGCAGCGTGAAGAAACAACGCCAGCACCAGCAGCAGCAGCGGGGGTGCCATCTACGCTCCACTCCCCACCAACTTCTGCACCTTCGCTTCGGGTTATTTCGGTCACTCTAGCCGACTCCCTCAATTCTGTCAGAACTAATGGAGGAGACACTTCTGCCACACTTGACTCGGCGCCTTCACCAGAATCGTTTCTGTCCATGGACTTAGCACCTCGGGTCGAGTTGTTTTCATGTATCGAATCATGGCTAACATTGTTCCCTTTACAGAGAAAAGCTTCGTTAGTTTGAAAGTTGTACTCGAAACTATCAGCACCAATGTCAATAGATTTGGCATGTTTTACATCATCAGTATCCCCGTAATAACCCAATGAATCATCAGAGAAGACAGAACTTAAAGTCTCATTTGGATCGCAATTCACACTTTCCTCCAAACTATTGTCCAAAGAAAGAGGTAAATTTTTACATTTTTCTACCGACTTGATGATGCTTTCTTCTGACTTACGAACAGTAATATCACCATCAACTAAATCAGAGGCATCGTCCAGTTCGCTTATGTTATCGATGCCATTACTACCTTCACTTAACGTGCTACTTTCGTTTGGAGAGGAACTGTCTTCATCATCTGAGTCTGAGAGAGGATCCAAGAAATACTCAGCCACAACTCGCTTCAAAAACGATTCGTCTTCATGCCAATTTTTTTGTAGATGGGGATAAACTGTTCCGTTGTCAGGAAGTCCATCGATCTTCCCATTTTTCGGGATCTTTTCCAAAGCGTGGTTTAGCTCACGGTTATCATATAAAAAATTGTTTGCCGTTTCCCTATAAGATAATGAATCTTGCTTATGATCTAAATAGTTTGACAATAATCGAGATTCAGGAACATGACCATTCAAAACCTTCCCATGACACACTTCACAGTAAAGAGGTTCCTCAAAAAGTGTACCGTAAGGAACAACCTTTTTACATTCAGATTGACGCTTCAAATGTTCTACTCCCTCATAACCAAGCCAAGAATCACAGCCAGAAGCATCACTAACTGTTTCGTCAATACCACTGCTATTCATGTGCATGCAAGGAAATGGCGCCCACCTGAAACGTTCCTTTTTGAGCGAGCGAGAAGGACATGCTTTGCCAAAGCCTCGTCGTGAAGAATCTTTGGCCGTTGAAGGAGGGTCAATGGTTTGCTGGCGCTTTCCTCCAGGAGTTAGGACGGTAAGGATTTTCGCTCCATTATTGATTCCGTTCTGATTACCGATTGAGATTTTTGGAGCACCACAAGAATTAGTTAAATTGGCACCGTTCCCAGCAGATGGTTTTATTAATTTAACAAAACTTTTAGGAAGGGAAAATTTTGAGTTTTCGTAATACAGAGGCTCAGGGGCATTTGGCGGAATTCCGAAGGCTTTGGGCGAAGAATTTCTTTTCTCTTCCGCGGCAGGAACGGTGATATTGATGGTCTGAGACGACTTCTTTTGGTTGGCAAAATTGAGGTTCAATTTGTACATACCTGGTTTTAAATTTATAGTGAAGCTGTTAGTGGCATCCGCAAGCTCTTCGGTTTGTTGGGAAATGCGAGCAGAAGAATGAGATTTCTTCCGGCGATTCCTGACAGGATTTTCTCTCATTAAAGCCTCAGGAGTCTGAGAATGATTCGGGTCAGTTTTCGAGACAGGGTTTAAATGCTCCGATCTCAGGTCAACAGGCTTACTACTAATGACTTTAGAATTTTCATCTTTAGTAAAACTAGGAATACCATTTGAAAGGCAAGGAACTTCATTCCGGCAGTCGTCAGAAACTTTAGACTGTGAGTCACGAGTCTGAGACTGCCGAGTAGAACATGTGGGACGGGTTGACGTGTGCGGCAAATGACTAGACCCAGAAATAACATCATTCATGCTATGGGATGACGATAGACGAGACGTAATGGTGACGGAAGCTTGAGAAGTAGATGACGATGTTGACGGCGAAGGTTCCTCAGGAACCGAATGTAAAACAATAACATGATTGCTCGTGTTAACGGGGGGATTTTGGTGGGCTAAAGTTCGAATGTGATCTTCGTACCTCATTGTGCGCGGAAGGTTAAGACCATTATATGTACTAAGATCAATAAAGCAGGCATCATTAGATATGCCGTTAAGTGGAGTAGGAAACCGCTGGCTGCCGATCACTCCGATTGGAGTTTGGATAACAAGTTGGGAAAGAGAACCAATGATATTAGAACCTGTGGGTTCTCCAACTCGATTTGTTGAGCTCAAACTTGCATTTCTCCTGGCTTGCGCAGCAGCCTTCTTGCCTGTGAGGTGCCGAAGAAGTCTGCTTCGAAGAGATCTTTTTTTCTCCTTACGTGGACAGCCACTAACCAACACTGAAGGGCATTCGAAAGGCTCGCCGTGCTCTTCGGAGGAGGCATTAAAAATAGCTTCGTATGGCGGTGGATTTTCTGCCTTGGTAGTATTGACGTGCACAAGCCGAGGTGAGTTGGGCGCAGTGTTTACAGTAGGTGTCGAGATATAAATAGAGCCCACACTAGGCTTGATGTGAACCGTGTTGTTGTTGACATTGATGTGAGGTTTGGGTGACGCACGAGTCGCAGGTTTGATAAGCTGAGTCGGAATAGTCGCAGCATCGGCTCTCAAGGAATAGTTTGGTCTGCCTTCACCAGCATCCCTGTCAGAGGTGGAGACCACAACACGTATAGGGACCGGCCGGACACCGGGACCGAGAGGAGGTTTGGTTCGCACATATGACGTAGGTTGTGAGATGGTGTGCGTGTTCTTGTTGTGTATATAGGACGGGTGTCCCGTGAGTGTGGAGGCGCTAAATGAGGCGTTGTTAGTCACTAATGGGGCCGCGTTTGCCATGAGAAAAGAGGCCCGCCATCAACAAACATGGCGCTACAAATTTTGAAAGCCTAATTCAGCGGCCGCGCTTCCAACTCAAATGCACTTCTTTCCATGTATTTTCTTTTCCATGAAAATCCATTCATTTTTATAAATCTAACCAAGATCATAAAAAAATCGGCGATTACAAAATGTTAACGATTGAAGTTGAAGAAATAATGAGAAAAATAATTTAACCTAATCTTATTCAAGAATTGAATGATAGGTCATGTCTCTAATATTGATTGGTGTAACTCCTAATTAGCTGGCACATGTCTAAATAGTTAAGCGTTTATTGTCACCGACTGAAATTATAATAAAAAATAAAGTAAAGATGTTTGGTATCAAGAAATTGTTAAATTTAAAATATATATGCGGTTCTTAGTAGAAGAGAAAATAGAGCGCGCATGTGCAAGATTGCAATCCACCCTAAGATCCAGCTCAATATTTGCACATTGGATTTTATAAAGGATAATGCTCAAAGATCTGACATCAAAAATCTACGTACGTGGTACAATCACTGAATAGGAATTGTGAATACTAAGCCCAGAACTCGGGTAGTTTCGGATCGTTAACAGTGCAAACTAACTGTTCAGAAAAGTTTTCCTAATTAAAATAGACCAAGACAGTAGTTCTTAAACTGTTTCAAGCCATTTATCAAATATTAATATTTTAAGCCGTAAGAAACACTTTCAATCAGTCAATCTTTCACAGATGTTATCTCGAGGCGCCAGATACTTTCAGTCCTATCTTCCGAGTGGAATTTCATTCTGTTTCAAGTCAATTTGTTAAATTCAATTGTTTAATTTGGGATGAAATAATAACTGAATTTGTTCCCAGCTAACTAAGGTAACAAGGTGAATAACTGGTAACACCTGACAAACCAGACGACTTGCAACGCACGGTTAAAATTTTAGTTCTTCGAGCAAATAAACGGAACAGGTCTACGACTCGTTTGAAAATACGAAAATCATCGCAAGTTACTTAAGTTTAGCTTTTTTTGCATAAAGTTTATGCACAACGAGGCAGACTGATCGCCTTCATTAATCTCAACTGCCATGAATAACCGAAATTGGAAACCTGATGTTCAGGATTTTCAAGTAACCATCGAAAACAAAAACATAGACAAACTAGATTCAAAATCCTGAGGTGCGAGTTCACAATTCAAGGTAAGCAAGAGTTGAGAATAAAATAACCAGAGGGTCAAACAAGAAATAATGCACAATTTAAAAAAAAATAGATTTCTTGTACAATTTCTAACCACAAATGACAGTATATAATCATCAGAAACGAGGATCATACTACATGAAGCGACATGAGTTGAGTTGCTTCATGTAATCATGTTCGTTCATTTCCGCATAACATGACTATATATTATCTAGAAAAATTGAGCCCTAACAGCCGCGAGAAATTATTATTATACGATTTATGTGGATTGAATTTTTTTTATTTTAGGCGTCAGACGCGCGAGCAAACCACGGAAGTGAGATGTTAGCGCCTTAAATAATCAAACGCAAGTGATCATTGATTATAATATAATTTTTGAAACAATTATCAGAACGAAGCGATAGGAGAGGAACTTGAGGACAAGGAAATAATTGTGAAGGTGAGAGGCTACGAAAATTTACCTTATTAGTTAAATGTATTGCTCATGCGAGTTTATCAAGCCCATTTGACAATTTTTTCGTCAAAATATGCAAGGAAATTTTTGCAGTCTATGGAGAAAAAATGAAAAACGGGCTGAAAAAGATGGCAGTGCCGCAAAAGCTATCCTCTAAAAAATGGAGTAAAGACATGAAGCTATACCATACATTTGAATGAATAATTGTGGACCTCAACAATAAAAATATGAGACTCAATAGTGAGAGATAAGTAATTTTTCATTCATGCATGACATCTCAAGAAACAGGAAAAATGGCGTAGAGCGCCAATTCACTGGCGCCACATAAAATAAGTTCTGTCGCAGCTACCCTATGTAGGCTACGACATTTAAAATAAAACGCGGGCCTATGACATTGAACAATACACCAGATCACAAACTCCGTACATGGTCATTCCAACTAATATTATTGCGTGCAAACAGAAAACTTATTTCAGTCGACTAAAAATCACAGCACAATTGAGTTGACAACTGACAATCACCACAGATACGAAATGAAGTCTATGGAAGATCGGTATCATCTACGAACACACGAGCTTTCAGGAGCACGACGCGCACACTGCTACCGGTACGAGCGGCACATGGCGACTGAGATGAGGCGATCGAGTTCAGCTAGGCAAGGGAGCAACCGCGCGGGCTGGTATCGCCAGGCAACGAAGCCTCACCCGGCACGCCATAAAAATCCCCGCTGACTTTGATCCCATCGAAAAATGTAAAGGTTATTGGTCACTGCTTGAGCTTTGATCCCACTTCATGGGGGGAGATCAAAGCGCGCTTATAAACAACCCAGAGGCCTCTCATCTTCAAAGGCGAATATACGACTAAAAATATCTGCGAATTTCTAGCTAAGGCTTGAAGTAAAACTGAAACAGGCAACACATTGCTTCAAGGAAAAATTTGGCACTTTTGGTTAATTAATGCGGAATTTCGGTAAATCGCATCAAACTTCAGTTAAAAAACGTTCGAGCAACACAAGATATATTTTCGTATCTCTTAGTCATTCAAAAAATTAGAATCTCCGTGCTTCCTTCTCGTCGCAATGAACATCTTCTGAACCATGAACAACCCGGATGTCCGAGGAGCAAGCAACTCTAAGAACCCGTCGGTTATGGGGAAACTTACCGAGACTCTTATCACCTCAAACACGGCAAAAAAAAAAACACGGTAAACTTGCAATCAAGCTGTTAGTTCACAAGGGACATTAAAAACCAGAGCTAACTGGTGCGCGTCGAGCCTCTGCCTTCTTCGAATGCCGAAAACCTTTAAAATAATTATATAAAAGTAACGTGAAAGCTCACTTTCGTTGGGGTCCTATAGCGGCAGGACAGCCTCAGCAGACATTGACTACGCATATATTGACGTGCACGATTAACTCGGCAATAACTCATACGATGAGGTCTATCATACGATCTTTATTCGTACATTGACTAGTACACTGGTGAATGGAAATAATTTAACGTTAAAAACACGTGAACGTCGAGCCAATCTCATGGAGACCTTGAATGAGATTGAAGCTTG